TTTCATTCTACAATGATGATGTCAAAGGAAGCCTGATGGTGTGTCACTGTCACAGAAGTGGCAGAATTGGGTTCTCAGTTCAGTCTATCTGCAGGCAGGATTTCTGTGCTCTCTCTGTGGTTTCAAAGGTGTCTCAACTTTGCCTAGGTGGCAACAGGGGCCTCACCAGGAGGACGGCAAGGAAGTCACTCTCGCTGACCACCTGGCTGCAGGCCCCTGGGCCCTGGGAAGGCTTGGGGAGCTGCCAGGGTGGGAGAAGGGGATGCTCGGAGCCATGAGACTGCCTCACGGGAAGCACAGAAAGGAGCAAGAAGCAAGCGGCGCTCCAGATACACAAGACATGTGCTTCTTGTCCCACCTGCCTCTCCCTGGAAGGAAGGCAGGGCGCGGGGGAAACCTGGGAAGATCTGAGCGGCAGGAGAGGGGCGTGCTCCAGAGGGACACAGTGAGGCAGGGGTAGCAGTGTGTGGGGCCTCACCATCTCCGGGAGTGTTGGAGAGCTGCAGGTCCCAGGAAGGAGAGCGAGTTTGCTTCTCCTGCTCACCCCCGCCTGGGTGGAGGTGCTATTGGGAAGGCTGGCAGCTTCTGCACTGGACCAGAGCAGAACCTCTGGAAGGAGGATGCAGGTCTCCAGGGTCCCCATTCCATCTGGAATTGGAGCCTGGATCAATTTCTGGACCATCTTTTCAGCTGTAGCCAGTCCTCTGGGTCACCAGCAAGAGCAGGACCACCATGGCTGGGTCTCCCTGCAGGAAAACATCTTCAAGCCTGATGTCTTGGACCAGGCATGGGGGTTCTCAGGGTCTATGCTTAAGATCCATTCTCAGGATCCATTCTTGGGGTTCTCAGGATCCATTCACAGGATCTATTCTCAGGATCCATTCTTGGGGTCCATTCTCAGGGTCCATTCTTGGGGCCCATTCTCAGGATCCATTCTCAGGGGCTTGGCCTGACTGTAGTCTGCAGCCAACATGGCCCCTTAGAAGTGATACCTTCCCATTTGGTCCTTATTACCTTTTCCGAAGCATTTTAAATGAAAAGAGCAGCTTTAGGCTCTGTGGACCAGCACAGCTATCCCTGACACTTTCCACCTTTCAAGTTCAGCAGTGAGCCCGGGGCCTTCCCTGGAGCTGACGGGGTTCCCAGGGCAGACAGGACACAGCTGGAGGCCCCAGCGCCTCCTGTCCGGGCTCAGAGACTTTGGATGTGGCCTAACCAGGGCCTCTGAACCCTTTCCTTGGATGGAATTCTCCTGGCCATGGAACCATGAGGAACTCGACTCCCCAGAGCAGCAAGTGGAGGACTGCCCCTAGACAGAGCTCCCTGAGGTCACTCTGGAGCCTTGGCCTCCAACACTGCCTCCCCAGACTCCTGGGCCCCCCAAACCAGCTGGAAAGGCCTGCAAGCTCAGTTCTGCAGAAAGGGCCGTCTCTGAAGGAACCTGGAGGAGGCCCACAGAAGAACCACCATCACCCTCCTCCCAGGCCCTGCTACCCAGCTCCCCTTCCAGTCTGCACAGAGCCCCCCACCCTGGACCCCCCCAATGGCCCTCCGAAGTCCACTTCACCCTTCTTTCTGTTTTCTGTACTCATGGTTGACTTGGCAAGGCCCCTGCCCCGGGGCCATCCACAGCCAGCGGGGCAAGGACACAGCCTGCTCCCACCAGGATGAGGCTGAGAACTCGTCCCTCCTCCTTCCAGGGACAGCGGTGCCAGTACAGATGGCACCTTCCAGGAATCAGAACTGCCACTCTGGGGGCAGCTCCTAAGGACCGAGTTACCTCACTGTCCTTCCCAGCGGAGCTTGAGGAAGGCGGAGACCAGGGGTCAACCTTCCAACTTGAAATTCAGAAAATAGTTGAATTAAAGTGTTTTCCTGTTTATGCACCTCAGCAGCTACACTGCCCTTCGCACCCAAGCACAATTCACAGCTCCCCGAGGAAGGTCCTGGCTGGTCATGGCTGGTGCCCACCCTGGACTTAAGTCCTAGAGAAATGACTGGAGGGTCCAAGGGGTCAGAATCACCATCCTGGCCCACTGCCCAGGGAAGGGAAGGCAAACTAAAGGAGGAGAGAAGGAAGGGACGAGCAGGAGAAGGGCACCCAGGTGGGCATCTGAACCTGCTAGGTGCCTTGACACGCTTTCACTCCTTGTTAATTCATACTGCCACCCTGAGGGGACGCAGGTGCCCAATGCTGGGTGGACCAATTCCCGCAACAGAGCCTGCCCACAAGGAGCAGGGAAGGCAGAAGGCAGAAGACAGCAGGAAGGACAGGAGGAAGACAGAGCCCAGTGGACACGCTTGAGGAGACAGTTCAGAGGTAGCCGTGAGGAGAACCACCAAATCCATGGCCCTCTCTCCAGAGGAGACAAAGCTGCTGGGACTTGCCTGTGGACTGTGTGGCATGGTGCCCGTGTGGCAGAGCCTGCCAGAGCCCCCACAGATGGGGCCATGAGCCTGGCCACTGTCCTGAGGTTCGTGGCCTTGCTGGTGCTGCGTGTTTTGAGCCACGGTTTTTCTGCTCACTGTCACAGAGGAGGCTCTCTGTGCCATCGAGGACCAAATGCATGGAACCTTCCAGAAAATGATGCCTTTGCGTGTCACAGTGTGGCAGGTAAGAGCAGAAGCCCTGGAGTCAACAGACTCTCAGTTTAAGGCCCGGCTCTGTCGCTCCCTCACGGAGACCTTGGGCAAGGTCTTCTCCATCATAAAACGGGGACAGAAGCATATCCCTCTGGCTGACAGTCATCTCTGCCCGTGGATTTTGCTCCTTGAGGGGTCATGGGTGGGGACGGACATCTTGGACCACTCTCCTGCCAGCAGCCCTGCCCTGGCTTGCCCAGGCAGGATCAGTGGTGGTGGTGGGCAGTATGGGTGGACCCAGGCTAGGAGCTTCAGTCTCCCCTCTACAAGGAAGTTAATGCTGTGAAGTGTCCTCAGTTTAATCTCCAGCCCCCCTCCCATGTCTTTTCCTTCCTTTGTCTGTCCCCCTTTCTCTGTAGGACTGGACTTGCTATGGGGACAGCCAGGTGCGTGTTCCTGACCAGTCTCTCCGAGGATGTATCTTTCTCCCATCTGTGAGTGTCATTCTTTGTTGTTCCTGGATTTGCAAGCCTTCCCCACACCCAGAGGCACACACCTCTCCTCGCTTCACACGGCTTCCCATCTCTGGATGGTTCAGGACGTGAGCTGCTCAAGGGCAGCTGGGGACCCTCCTGTGCCTTCATTTTCGCCACCACACGACTCAACTCTGGTAACCAGATTTGCATCTTTTTTTGCAACCAGGCATCTGAAAGCCTAGAAGAACTTGTGGATCTGTGACGCAACCTCCTGTGGCATCTCTGGCTGTCCTGCTAGCCGATCCTCAGGAGAGACACTGAAAACGAAGAGACACCGCCCTTCTGTTAAAAAATAGATGAACACGGCCTTACATTGTTCATTCAGACATCTTCATTCTCTGAAAATAAATGCACAGTTGTCTTGAAGGCCCTCCCAGCTGGGAAGCCAGTGCCCTCCCCTGCTGTCTCCTGAGGGCAAACATCCTCCCCTAGACCAGAAGGCCCTGAAGCAGGGTCTACGACCTGAGTGGGCTGGCTCTGTCCTGGGAGAAAAGTCTGCTGCTCCCACGTGAATGTCCAAGGGATCTTTGACCCAGCGAGGGTGAGACTCACTGCCTGGGATCATCTCTGATACCTTCTCTTTTAGACCCCACAGACACTCCAATCCCAAAGTTCTTTCCCTACAGTGGCCTTCAGCTCCAGTCTCTCAGGTTCCTGTGACCTTCCAACCCACCTGCCACCTCCCGACCACAATCTTCAGGCCTCTCCAATGCGCTCACAGCCTGCTCTCAGCTCTGAGCCCGAATTCTCTTCAACCAGAAACCCAGATGAATCTGGGTTTTTATTCTGGTTCTTCTGTGTGAACTTTGATGAATTACTTAACCTCTCTGAGGCTTGGTTTTTCATTTGAAAATTGGGATCATAACACCTGCTCACTGAGTTTTGATGAGAATCAAATGAGAGAGCCCTGTAAGCAATAATCTCTCTCTCTGTCCCTCCTCTACCCTTCGGCTCACTCCCTACCTGTGTGACATCACAGCACCAAGCTTTCCAGAGCAGCCCTTGGCAACTGCCTTCACCTGATGCTTTCTACAAACTCCAAGTCACCTGGTGAGGAGCAGTGCCCTGGGGTGGCTTCTAGTATAACCCAAGCAACAGCAGAAGTGACCCGAGAGAAACCCCAGGAAGGCCTCAAAAGCCAGTGGCGTCCCCTCAGGCCAACCCCCCAGTCCACCGGGTGGCCTGGTGCCCCAGGGTCACTTGAGGGGGTGGTGGTTCCTGCTGGGTTCAGACTGTTCAGGTCTCCTCACCCACCCAGAGTCCCCTTGCCCCTCCTACCTAGCCTCACATTTCTGGTTAGACTGGAAATAGAACTGTTTGCCAGTGAGTCTGTGAGAACAGCAGCCATTCTCCCCTCTGGGTCTTAGAGCAAGGGGTGGAAACAGCACCAGGGCAGGTGCTCCTGTCACCTTGTCAAGTACAGCTTCAGGGCAGCAGCGCCTGGTCCCTGGGGTTACGCAGGAGGTGAGGCCACTGTCCCCTGATTTAAAGATGGGGAGGAGTGGCTGCAGGAGACAGCCTTGACCTGTAGGACCTATGTTGGAATGTGCTGGAACCTCCCTTTCTGCCCCCCAGCAGCAGGGTTGAAGTTTGACACACGGCTGGCAGGCAGCCGAGGGGAGGCAGGAGCACGTGTCCCTCCCGAGCACTTCTGTGAGGAAGCCCTCCCCCGACACCCTCCTCCTGGCACACTGACCCCTTAGCAGGCCCTCGGGACCATCCTGATTATACCGCACGGAAATGCACTCAAGTGGTCCATGGCCTCCGTCTGCTAAGGAGTGAGGCAGTTCATGTGTCTTAAGGTTGGGCTGGACTTGGTGGGCAGTCGTGGGTCTCTGGAGACAGCCCTGCCCTCCCATCATGCCAGAAGCTGGATAGTAGGCCGCCATGACTTTTCATTCACGCACAGCTGTGCGGCAAGAAAGGCAGGGTCCTAGGGAGCTGGTGGCTTGGGGAGTCACATAGACCTTGGTTTAGATCCCCAGTGACCTCTTCCTATGCATGGGGTTTCCAGTGACGGATTTACCCAGTATGTTTGTTGGTCGGTAGGGTGGGCGCCAACCGCGGCTTCCTGCTGAGTTATGGAATTGTTGCTAGTGTGTGTCTCACCAGGTGCCAGGTGGGAGGGGGGAGCAGCACCTGCTGGCAGGTGAGGGACACGCTGTGTCCAGAGGCATCACGCTGGGAGCTTGAGCTTGGCCACAGCAAGAATATTTCCACCATGGAGACCAACAACTGCCAGGCTGCAGCCCACTGTGTTCCTGGGAGCCTTGGTGGTAGTGTGCCACTGCCTAATAGGAGCTCAATAAATGCAGCTATTATTAGTAAACTCAGGTGAGAGCCCTGCTGATTCAAAAGTAGAAATGGAATACATACATTATGTAGAACACAAAGTCACCACTTGTTTTACAAGGAAAGTGGTCTCACTTCTGCCCAAAATCGATCACACAGAAAGATGAATGCACAGCCTCTTTGGTACATGGAGCTTGTCATTTAGATCTATTGCTTTTGCTCACTGAACTTGGGAGCATATTTTGTGTTGCTTCTAGTAACTGGTAAATGTCTGGCTTATAATAATGCACTGGCTAAAACCCAAACTGATAGAAAAAAAAAAGAAAGAAAGAAGAGACACTTGTCAATCAACAAACATTCAACACAGCATTTGATCCCGAAACTGATGTAAATGTTTCTTGACTCTGAAGTCACAGTCTGCATGGGGTGGCAGAGGAAAAGGCGCACATATTTGAAGTAATATAAAAAATTACTTTTGCACACATTTTGTGTTACAATATGTTTTCACATATAAGAAATTCAAGCACAGCAAAGGGAAACAATTTTTTTTTCAGGTTATAAAACTAGGCAAGTAGGAAAGCTGAGATTTAAACTGACTCCAGATCCAAGAATATTTTCACTAGTAATTAGGAACAAGATTTGGCATTATATCCTGATGTTAAAAGGGTCCAAATGTCATATGCAGATCATTAGAGAATGAACAAGCTATAAGAGGTTGATCATGTGGTGGTGGACAATGTCGTACCTTGGTCTGCTATAACAAATGCCACAAACGAGGTGGGTTGTAACAATAAAATTTATTTCTCACCTTTCTGGGGGCTGGAAGGCCAAGATGGAGGCAGTGGCTGGAGAGCCACTTGCTGGCTCATAGAGGGCCACCTTCTCTTTGTGCCCTCACCTGATGGAAGCCTGGGGTCTCTTTAACCGGGGCACTAATTCCATCCACTAGGGCCCCACCCTTGGGACCGAATCACCTCCTATATTCCTACCTCCTAATACTATCTGCTTTGGAGTAAGGATTTCAACATAAGCATTTGAGAATTTGGGTGGAGAACACAGATATTCAGTCCAAAGCAAACAATAATTGCAAGATCAAAATAATTGGAAGCAGGCAGGACTCACCATGAGCTAGCAACCCATGAGCAAGCTGCATGGAAAAGACGGTACTCCAGGGCTCCCACCTGGACACATCTGTGATGTTTCACTGAACCATTAGCACAAACAGGTCTGCCTGTTCTCCCCGAATGCAAGAAGCCATTGGACGCGCCTGTTGTGACCAAGCCAGGTTGGGCGAGCCCACAGAACAGGATGCAGAATGGTGGTGTCTTGACTTCTCTATGGTGGGATCCCAACACATCAGGAACAGTCAGTCAGACCAACGTTTTGGTATTAACTACACGCACCCCCTCTATTTCTCTTATTATACAAATCTTTCTTGAGTTTCCTCCTTATTCCATATATTTCTTCTTGGTTTTTATTATTATTTTTAGTGCACTGATGGGTTTTCTGGTGGCAGCCAAACCACACAAGACTTTGACAATAAAAACCGGGGCAGTGACAGCCACGCCATGCCTGGTTGGGGGCCAGTCTTCATCCAACTGTCATCTACATGGTTCCAGGCAGCAAGTCCTCGAAGCCAGGAAAGACTTAGAAAGTTAAGATGGAAGGGCCAAGGACACTGCTGCTCTTTCTCCATCAGCTCCTTGACTTGCTCGTGAGCAAGAGGAGGTGCCTCATGGCGGCTCCCTAGACTGGTCCGGCTCAACAAGACAGACCAAGATGCGCCACGCGTGTTCCTACATTGTGCGTCGGTCACAGGCTTTATCAAAAGCCCAGTGTTATATCACACCCATGCGCTGTGCATGTCCAAGTGTCCCTGAGAGGATCTGGCCATGAGCAGAAGAGACTGCTCCAGCAGCCAAGATCCAGCCTCAAGTCAATGACCAAGCCTGGGGGAGCCGGGAGGGAGGGAGGTAGCGGGGAGGGAGGGAGGGAGAAAGGCAGGGGTAGAAGGGTGGAGGAGGTGCTGCCCTCCCCAAGCCTGGTCAGCAGAGTGGAGAACCCCATCATCTGCACTGCTCCCCGCCTAGACGCCTGGTCTTCAGTGTCTGCCATTTCCTCATCTCTCCCTTCTTCTATTCTCTGCTCTCCCACCCACATGCTCAGGCATCTGTCCTTTGCACTGACACTAGGATACCTGCAGAACTGTGTCCTGCACCTGTGGTCACAAAGGGTCCTGGCCCAGAGTGGGGGACATGGGGCAATTATTTCTGACACTCAACACCTTCACCCCATTACATTTGAGAGGAGTGACCAGAGTGAGTGTCATCGGAATGGAACACAGGTTTCTTGTCCCCAGGAGGAGAGAGGCTACTGTCCTAAATACAGCCTTAGGTTAGTTACAAGCCATCTGCAATTTGGATCCCAGAAGAGGGGATTCATGCTGCCTTGGCGCCATGTAAATGATTCTGAAGGACAAAGGGGCCCAACCTGAGGGTACTAGCTGGCAGGAGGCACAGCTGTTGTAAGTACACCCGCTGTGTAGCAGGCACGGGGCTAAGCACTTTTAAGTACCTTGTGTACATGACCAAGGTAGAGCATCCCAGCACCCTCAGTGTACAGTGCAAGTATGTCCTAGAGACAAGTCACGAGAGCTGTGTGCACCTCTTCGCAGTGGCACATTCCGAGGCCTGGCTGTAGCAAGCATGATGATGGGAGGTGGACGCCCTGGCAGGGTAGACAGGGTGGAAATTGGCAAGGGCCTTAAAGTCAGAGCTTCTGCTCGTTGGCTGGCTGGGCTTTCGAGGGCTGGTGGCTTCACGCGTGTCAGCACATTTACTCAAATGCCCCTGCACAGAGGAGAACTAAAGTCTGAAGTGGCTTGTCCAATGGGTCACACAGGTTCCAGATTCGTGTCTTCCTGCTATGAGGGTCTTGGGAGGTGCCGGTCAGGGGCTGCAAGAGAGCTGGAGGTGGGCTGGGCCGGGAAGCCCCAGGGGTCCCTGGTGGCCAGACCCCGTGGCAGCTGCTCTGAAGCAGCCTGGGAGTGAGATTGTGCTCCAGGTCCAGGAGAG